TCTCCATAGAGACTGTGTCAGCTCCCAAACAGACAAAAACAAACTAAAAACCAGCAACAAACAACTTAAACATAAACAATTACAAAGAAAGAACAATACAGTATCCACATCTGAACCAAAGAGTAAAACAGTGAAATGTGGATTATTAAATATTAGGTCTCTCTCCTCCAAGTCTCTGTTAGTACATGACTTAATAATTGTTCAACAAATTGATTTACTCTGCCTTACAGAAACCTGGTTGCAGCAGGATGATTATGTTAGTTTAAATGAATCAACACCCCCGAGTCATTCTAACTACCAGAAATCTCGAAGCACAGGCCGAGGGGGCGGTGTGGCAGCAATTTTACACACCAGCCTATTAATCAACCAAAGACCCAGACAGACTTTTAATTCATTTGAAAGCCTGATGCTTAGCCTCGTCCACCCCAGCTGTGAAACTCAGAAACCAGTCTTACTTGTTATCATCTATCGTCCACCTGGGCCTTACACAGAGTTTCTCTCTGATTTCTCAGACTTTATATCTAATTTAGTTCTGAGCTCAGATAAAATAATTATTGTGGGTGATTTTAACATCCATGTAGATGCTAAAAATGACAGCCTCAACATGGCATTTAATCTGTTATTAGACTCAATTGGCTTCTCTCAAAATGTAAAAGAACCCACCCACCACTTTAATCACACTCTAGATCTTGTTTTAACATATGGCATAGAAACTGAACATTTAACAGTGTTTCCTGAAAACCCTCTCCTGTCTGATCATTTCCTGATAACATTTACATTTACAATAATTGATTACACAGCGGTGGAGAGTAGACGTTTATCACAGTAGATGTCTTTCTGAAAGCGCTGTAACTAAGTTTAAGAATATAATCCACCCACTGTTATCATCTTCAATGCCCTGTACCAAGACAGAGCAGAGCAGCTATCTGAACACTACTCTAACAGAGGTCGATCATCTTGTTAATAATTTTACTTCTTTAACGAGAGCGTCCTCGCTGGTATAACTCTCAATTTCACATCTTAAAGCAGCTAACTCATAGCTGGAGAGGACCTATTGCTACTTTTAATATTAATTGCTACTTAGTCTTTTAGGGGAAGGTATATTTTGTGGACCTTCTTAAGCCCACTGACACACTTCCTGTCGTGGAAGTCTGGGATGAGGGGGCTAACTTGCCCATCCCTGAGGGTGAGATCTCTGACATAGTTGCAATGCACAGAGCAGAGTTCTCCTAGTTTGGATGAAAGTTCCTAAAAGCTGTGGATGTTGAAGGGCTGTCCTGGTCGGCATGTCTCTGCAACATTACGTGGAGATGTGGGGCGGTGCCTCTGGATTGGCAGATGGCAAGAGAAGCTCTAAAAAAAGGGGACGGGAGAGTGTGCTCCAACTACTCCTCGGCCTCCCCAGTAAAGTCCCTGGCAGGGTACTGGAGAGGGGAGTGTGTCTGTTAGTGAAAATTGTGGTTTTCGTCCTGGTCGTGGAACAGTGGATGAGCTCTTTAGCCTCTCAAAGACATTCAGTGGTGCCTGAGAGTTTGCCCAACCAGCCAGCTGACTGCGTCTCTTGGGACAACGGTCCCCAACCCCTGGGCCTCGGACCGGTACCGGTCCGTGAGTCGTTTGGTACCGGGCCGCGAGAGTTGAGGCTCAGGTGTGAAATGTATAGATTTCAGGGTTTTATCGTTAACTCAGCGTTATTTTGTTATCGTTTTTATCGTTTACTCAGTTTTCCTGGGTCTTTTCACGTGTGTTATGAATAAATCTTCTTTTTTTCGGTACCGGTACTAGTTTTATTTTGTAGTATTTATCCGCGACACCTTAAAGGCTGGTCCGTGAAAATATTGTCAGGCATAAACCGGTCCGTAGCGCAAAAAAGGTTGGAGACCGCTGTCTTAGGACACCAGTGGTGGGGGGGTGCTTCGGAAGTATAGTGTGTATTACTGTAGGGTCTTTACAATATTAAGCCCCTTGATTTGGAGCTACATAAACTAAAAGTGTCTGGCTGTCTGTTACAGTCACTCAGTCCCTGCAAACATCGCAGGAGCTTGGTCCACATTGTTAGCTGTAAGTGGGATGCGGCCCAGGCTGCACTTGTCAACGGTTCATACTTGTTATGGACACAATATCAGGTCATAGTGATGACTTTTATGTTTCACTACATACTCAGCTACAACATGCTCTTAAACTTCTTTAAATGTTCTAGCACAACATCTGTCACGTGTTCAAAATACCGCTGCATGTTCTATGTGTAACATAGAACAGCGCCACCTGTGCTATGTGAGAGCTGTTACAGGTCGAGTCATCAGTGCTTGTGTGAGTCGCACTACTTCAAGTAGATACGCGTTGATAACTACGTTCCTGTGGCGGATAAACAAACATGTGACTAATGATCACGTGTTAATCAGTGATACTGCTGTTCACATGATTCATGGAATCTAAAGGAGCTGCTTCCTGTCTCAACAGAAGAGCGACAGATGATCTAGAAACAGCCTGGACACGTTAACCTGCGTACACAAGGGACACGTTCATCATTACAAAAACATGTGCTATAAAGATTTTGTGTAGAGATTATACAGCATGCAGTCATGGAGCTCGCTCCCTCACCTCTGCTCTCAGCTCCAGCAGAGCTGTGAGAGAGGAGCTGCTCCTCGTCTCCTCCTGGTTCACTGTGCTCTCCTTCCTCAGCAGCAGTCACCATAAAGGTACCAGGCTCCTCCTTCAGTCCCAGCTGCTCTCCCTCCTGACTGCTGCACAGTTCCTCCTGTTCCTCTTTTATCTGTGGAGGTTCTGGTTCCTCCTGGTCCACACTGGAGCTCCTCTCCTGGTTCCAGAGACAACCTCCTCCTCCTCACAGACCTGCTGCTGTGGGACGTCTGGAACAAAAAAGACATAAAAAAAACAAAAAACATGAAATTTACAAATCTGATGCCAAAAAATTCTGAGAAGTTTTCATTGAAGTCTTTGATAGAGAGGATCAGATGTGTGTTTGAAGCCAAATTCAAATTATTCAAGATCGGACACGATGGTCTATACTCGCCCCAGAGGTGGGAAAGTCACCTTGTTATGCAGTAAAGTAGACAGGCTGGATGCAGCGTACCTGAGAACAAGAACACTTTGTCAAAATAGAAGAAAATATACACAATACAGGGCAGAAGAAATGTTATTTAAACATGTTCGTACTGGTGTATCGATAAGTCTTCTGATGCTTTTTTGTTGTTGTTTTGTTGTGTACGTCTTTGTGTCACTGTACCTGTGAGATATAAGAACCAACATCTGCCAGGAAAAAGTCCCACAGTGCCTCTGTGAGGGTTTTTATTTTTGTTAGTACAAGAGGACGCATAGTCTTTTCTAATCTTATACGTTTTTTATTACATTTATTTCATACTTTTACATTTGAACAGAATCATCATTAGACTCAAAGCCAGAACAACACATAGTCAATGCTGGTGGTGCTGAGGTGGGCTCAGCAGGGCCCGGGGCCATGTGTCAGCTTGGTCAGGAGTGAGGAGGAGTGAAAATGTAAACATGAAGAGGGAAACCGGCCGGGAGAAAGTGAGAAGAACTGAGCATGCTCAGAGACCTGCTCCAGTTGTGTGCGAGGATCCAGGTGTGTGCAGGGATCCAGGTGTGTGCGGGGATCCAGGTGTGTGCAGGGACCCAGGTGTGTGCAGGGTCCGGGGCGGATGAGGTGTGTGCGGGGTTGTGCGGGGGGGTGGGCGGGATCCAGGTGTGTGCAGGCCGAGGTGTGTGCGGGACTGAGGTGTGTGCGGGGAACCAGGTGTGTGCGGGATCCAGGTGTGCGCAGGGATCCGAGGTGTGTGCAGGGACCGAGGTGTGTGCGGGCACTGAGGTGTGTGCGGGGACTGAGGTGTGTGCGGGGAACAGGTGTGATCCAGGGTGCGCAGGGATCCAGTGTGTGCAGGGAGGGGGGGCCTGAGGTGTGTGCGGGCACTGAGGTGTGTGCGGGGACTGAGGTGTGTGCGGGGAACCAGGTGTGTGCGGGGCGAGGTGTGCGGGGACCGAGGTGTGTGCGGGGTCCAGGTGTGTGCGGGGACCGAGGTGTGTGCAGGGACCGAGGTGTGTGCAGGGACCGAGGTGTGTGCGGGGTCCAGGTGTGTGCGGGGACCGAGGTGTGTGCAGGGGAGGGTGCGGGACCGAGGTGTGTGCGCAGGGGTCCAGGTGGTGTTGTGCGGGGACCAGGTGTGGCAGGGGGTGTGTGCGGGGATCCAGGTTGTGTGCAGGGGGATCCGAGGTGTGTGCGGGGGATCCAGGGTCAGGTGTGTGCAGGGACCGAGGTGTGTGCAGGGACCAGGTGTGTGCGGGGACCGAGGTGTGTGCGGGGATCCAGGTGTGTGCGGGATCCGAGGTGTGTGCGGGGATGCCAGGTGTGTGCGGGGACCAGGTGTGTGCGGGGATCCAGGTGTGTGCAGGGGACTGAGGTGTGTGCGGGGATCCAGGTGTGTGCAGGGACCGAGGTGTGTGCAGGGATCCAGGTGTGTGCGGGGACTGAGGTGTGTGCGGGATCCAGGTGTTGTGCGGGGATCAGGTGTGTGCGGGACCAGGTGTGTGCGGGATCAGGTGTGCGCGGGGATCCAGGTGTGGCGGGGGATCCAGGTGTGCGCGGGGACCGAGGTGTGTGCGGGGATCCAGGTGTGTGCGGGATCCAGGTGTGCGCAGGGGCTGAGGTGTGTGCAGGGATCCAGGTGTGGTGCGGGGCCAGGTGTGGTGCGGGGACCAGGTGTGTGCGGGATCAGGTGTGCGCAGGGACAGGTGTGTGCAGGGACCGAGGTGTGTGCGGGATGAGGTGTGCGGGGATCAGTGTGTGCGGGACCGAGGTGTGTGCGGGGACTGAGGTGTGTGCGGGGATCCAGGTGTGCGCAGGGATCCAGGTGTGTGCAGGGACCGAGGTGTGTGCGGGGATCCAGGTTGTGCGGATCAGGTGTGCGGGGACAGGTGTGCGGGCCGGGTGTTGGGATCCAGGTGTGCGCAGGGGCCGAGTGTGTGCGGGATCCAGGTGTGCGCAGGGATCCAGGTGTGTGCAGGGACCGAGGTGTGCGCAGGGATCCCTCTGAGGATCCAGGTGTTTGAATTTCAGACTTTGATGGTTTTGGATCCCCTCCTGGATCTGTTTGCTGATGATGTCACCTGAGCACGTGACATCAGCGGTGACCTGGGCACCAGTGTTAGCAGGCCCGTCTGCTGCTGAGACCTGGCCAGCCGCGGTGTCCCAGGCGGCGTCCTGGGTGGCGGCTCTGGGGCCACCCTGACGGTGTTCCTCCCGTACAGCCTCTTCTCGTACTGCAACAGCTGCTCCCAAAAGCCGGCGTTCAGCCGGATGTAGGGCCGGCTCTCCTGGACCCAGTGGTGTGCCCGCCGCAGCGTCACGCCCCTGTAGCGCATCAGGTACGCCATCACCAGTGCTGGAGAGCGGCTCATCCCGGCAGCACAGTGCACCAGCGTCCCACCGCCACAGTTACCATGGATACGCTTAGCCACCCAGTCAAAGTAATCCCCGAGGCGGGCGCTCGGCAGGTCGGAGACAGGGACCCGCAGGCACTCCACCCCTGGGTAGGCGGGGCAGGCGTGGCTCAGTGTGGCATTGACAATCAGAGTGATGCCTTTCTTCAACACCAGTCCTGCGTTCAGAGGGGCGTCGGCCCCACTGAGAAACAGGGTGGGGGTAATCTGAGAGACCGCCATCTGCTGGAGACACAGAGAGACATTACTGCAGCTCAGAGCGGTGAATTCACGCCTGCACTGGCCAATCACAGAACAGCACACATGTGAATGCACTCACACCTCCATTGAAGCACAAATGAAACACAGACATCAGCCTCCAACTCTAAAACACCAGCAGCTGCAGTTCCTCTGACGTCCAGCGGGGACAGCACTGACTTAGTCGCCATAGTCTCCGTGTTAAAATAAACACGCTTACGGCTGATCTCAAACAAACACCTGTACGAGGGAAGGATGTTTTTAAAACTCACCTGCCTGTAGTATTAGCTCATTGGAGCCCAGACCCATTTATACTTTCAGGAAAACTTGCAATATGGCTGCTGTGAGGTTACAGAACAAACAGACCATACAAGAAGGATTCTGATTGGATTAGCAGGTATGTGTGCGTGTCTGTGTGATGCTGGTTCCGATTAGGGGTGGGTTTTTATAATCAATTTATCGATTAAAATCGATTCTGGCTTGGATAACGTAAAATCGATTCATTAAAATCCTGAATCGCTTTTTTAATATAAACTTATTTTGTCTGGAATACCAGAATCTCTGGTGAAATCTCACAAAATTTCAACAACCACCAAACAGTTAAGACAGTAAATGAGAGCAGGAACACGGATTCTGCACATAGACTTAAACACACAGCGCGACCCGCGGATCAGAATCAGTGAGATGTCGCCTTTCTCACGGTCGGGGCTGAAAGCCGACGGGTCGCTGACTCTGATCTGTCGGCGGGTCGAGCTTTGTGTTTACGCCCTTTATGCGCTGATTCTAAAGCTGTTAGTTTGATGTCTCTCCAAACAATATTGACCGAACCAGCACCAAAAGAAGATCCGAACTAAGCTTCACATAAACATCGTCATGAATTCACTCTGACTTTTGCTGTTTTGCTTCCACCATGATGCACAGCTCTCTCTCTCTCTCTGTACTTCAAGATCAGTTTCCTGTCTAAAAATCTGTTTTCTGCATTGTTCGCTTGCTTGTTACGCACAAGTCTACCGTTCTTACAGGCTGTCAGCTGTTGTTTTTTTCCCCTTTTACATTCTTCCAAAAAGAAAACCTCATTTCTGCTGTTCAACAGATCCGACAGTGAGTGGTTCCTGTTACTCATCCAGTCTGAGAAAGCACTGGTTAAAGTGTTTGTGTATTTATTGGTTTATTTTAAGTAATTGTGTTTTATGTATATTATGGTTTTATATTTTTACAAATGCTTTATATACTTATTTATATACATATATATATTTAATAGTTTATACCTTGTGTTGGGGAGGGGGGGTGTTTCTGTCTTGTTTTTATGGACATGAAGTCTGCCAATAAAGATTGAATTGATTGAATACTGAACAAATGTAAACTTTTTAAAATTATTCAAAATGCAAAACGCTTAGCTGTGTCTCTAACAAAACCGCTGTAACGTCAGAGGTGATGTTCATATGTTCATTAATGATTTTCTTTCGTTTTTGATCTACTGCAGAATATTTTTATAAAATCCAGAACAGGAAAATCACCTCCATGTTTGTCTGTGTTTTATCTTCAGCTACTTTGACACAAAGGCCTCTGCTGTGATGCTCACACCTGTGATAAAGTCTTGCGTGTGTCAGCTTCCTTTTTATTGATACAAAAATATGTAAATGTACTGATCTGAATTTCTGACTGTCAAAATTTCCCAGATTTAAATCGAATCGTGGATCGAATCGATTCTAGAAATCAGTGACGATACCCAGCCCTAGTTCCGATGTTTAAAGGATTCTGGGTCACATGTCAGGATGTAATAAGAAATAATCTGAAGTCATATTTATTTAACCAAACAGAGCGGCGTGTGAGAAAGTCCACCCCTGCTACTTCCTGAGGGATCGGACTGTTTACGCTTGTTGTTCTCACTCTCGCCAACGCACTCAGACGACAGCACTGACGTCACACCTGCTGGTGCGAGCTGCACTTTGATGTTGTCCTTTCATCAGTTTGCTGTCACCTGTACAGACGTTTTTATGACAGACGTATGCAGGAGCACATGATACAGAACTCAGTTATGGACTCTACTGCTTCCTGTTTTGGCTTTTTGTTAAATAAATCATGACTGTTGCATTTAAATGGGTTTAGATGTGTGTCATGTGTGTTACCTGCTGCCCGGTGGTCCTCTGACTGCTGCTCTGAGTGACACACACACCCTAGATGGCTGTGTGTGTCAGTCCTTCAGCCAATCATCTGAAGGGTTAATTTTAGTACAACAGCTGAAAACGTCCTGAAGTCATGTGACTGAAGAGGAGAAATCAGACTCGAGCACACACACACCATCATAATGAGTGTGAATTTATCACTAAGAGCAGTTTGATTGACAGCTGCTGATATGGCCCTGAAGGCTTCACTGATGTTGAAATAAGAGTGTTTGACTTGATTATATAAACTTTCCCCCACACTGGGGGAATTCCCTTTTCACCGCAGTTTAATTTTATTTATTTAAATCTAATTTTCGTTCTCTCTCTCTCGGACTCCCGGCCTTTGCTTCGGTTTGATCCGGTGACGTCACAAAGCCCGTCACGTGTCTCCCTCTGCCGGTGAACTCCGGGCAGGTGCAGTTCTATTTCTGACCTCCGGGAGGCCGCGGCTCGCTGAGCTGCAGGGAGACTCGGAGAGCAACCAGCGAAGAAGAAAAAGTATTTTGCTAGCAGTTAGCCTGTTAGCCGGGCCGTCATGGCAGACCTGAACCGACAGCTCCAGGAGTACCTGTCTCAGTCCAAAGGCGGCGGCGCAAAGACCATCTCCCAGTCCGGCTCCAGCACCGCGGTGGACCTGGGCGACCCGGAGCCCGTCCCGGGAAGCTGGTTCGGCCGGTGGTCCAGCCCGTGGTCCGCCAGCACTTCCGGACAGAGCTCGGGCGGAGCGGCGGCTTGTCGTGGCCGTGGTCGGCCCGAACCGGATCCCTGCCTGCCGGGCATGAGCCGCCGCCAGCGGCTGCTGGCTTCGGCGTGTGCGTGTCGTTTTTCCGCACTCTGCTTCGGTTTGTCGGCGCTGTATGCCCGCTGCTGCTGCTCTACGCCCGCAAGTTCGCGCTACTCTGGTCGCTTGGCTCGGTGTTCGCCATCGCGGCTGCCGCGGTGCTCCGCGGGCCCAGCAGGCTGGCCGCTGGCCTCCCTACCTCCCCCGGAGCCGCCGTGTACCTGTGTGCTCTCGGTGGTACCTTGTACCGGCGCTGAGCCTCCACAGCACCGTGCTGACCGCCCTGGGCGCCGCCTGCAGGTCGCCGTCATCGCCGGCTGCCTGGTGTCGCTGCTACCCGGAGGCAGCGCCGGGATCCGCTTCATGGGGGGCATGGCGGCGTCCGCCATCAGGAGGACCGTCACCGGGAAGACCATGCCGATCTGACCGGGACCCGGGCATCCGGGGGGGGGGTTGCTGTGGAATGTCCAGGGTCCGGATTAACGTCAAGACTTTCCTCTGATTATTGACTGCTGATGGCTTACTGCAGAGGAACACTGAACCCTGAACTTTGACCTGCAGGACTCATGAGAACACTAAAGCCTGACCTTTGACCTGCAGCAGGGCCAGGCTGCTGGTGATGAACTGAGGACCAAACAAAGACTAAAAACTGAATTTCCCTCTGATGCAGGTGTTTTGTGTTTTTTAAAATAAATGTGATTTAAGTTTGACACAGAGATTAAAAACAACCTGAACATCTGTCTGGCTTCATATGTTTTATTTTCTAAACATGTGGCACATTGTAGTCTGACCACATCAGGGGGTGAAGATGATGATGTTGTGACGTGAGCCACCTGTAGATTCAGCAGAGGTCTTTGAACGCATCATCACAGGAAGTTCCTGTGTGAGGGGTCAGAGGTCACGGCCTGATAGCCACAGTGTTCAGTTGGAGGGCAATGTAAATTTCAGCAGCACATTATGAAACTAATGATGAAACTGACATCACAGAGAAAACAAAGGAGGCGACTGAACGCAGCGAGGCTTTGGTTAATGAACCTGAAGGGAAAAAACTTCAGCTGTGTTAAAGTGAGGCGTCAAGTCTCTTTAGTACGTTTAAACTAAACCACAGCAGGTTCCACTGAATTTTAAGGAGATTAAACTCTGACGAGCTTAGTCTGAGACCTGCAAACTGTTTAATGATCAGTGCTGTTTGACGTGGAGCTCTGATTATCACCACACTGCTCCTGGAGGAAGTCGTGCGAGGAGGTTTTTTACACTCACTAAGAGGTTCTACACCGACTCGCCGAAACCGAAGAGTCCACGTGAAACCAGGATGAGGACAGACTTTAAGGTCCATTTGTGTCTCCAGGAACGTGACGGCCCTCAGGTGAGGCTCTGCGTCCACCTGTGCGTCCTTCAGGTGAAGACTGCAGTCGGCTGCACATGAGCTTCTCTGAAGGTCAGGTGACGCTCCCGGGGTACAAACTTTATTCAGTAATTACACAGTGAGGTTACATATCAAACAGGAAATGAAACGTTCAGCTATGATTAATGATGAGCCAGATTCAGCCCTGAACGCAGGGAAGGACCTGACGTCCTGTAACAGGTGCTCACCTGTACGAGATCAGCGATGAACCACCTGACACAAGCATGGCCGCACCGCGCTATCAAAACCACCCCAACAAAATCCTTTTAAATAAAGTTTCACAGCTGGTTTCTAATGTTCAGGGGAAGCCTCAGAGATTCTTAGAGTTCTGAGCACTGAGCTGGAGCACCACAGGAAAAACTTTATTCAAACACAACAAAACAGACAAATGCCGCCCCCCCCCCGTGCACAGGTGGAGTCGCTGTGACGAGTTTGAAGTGTGAATCTTTATTGTCCACCTCAGTGAAAACACAAACATAGAAATCTGTTACAAAAGGACAAACGCTGCAGACGAGGTGAATAAAAGACGCCGGTACAGTCTCTGCAGCACCAATCACGAGCCAGAACAGGCCTCAGCCTGTCACATGACCACTAGTCCAGCAGGAAGCCCTGCCCTCAGTCTGTGCAGGGACCAGCAGGGGGATGACCAGAGGAGAGGAGGATCATGGGACTTTTGTTCTTCTTCTTTCTCTAAGACTACCGGCTCCGGCCCCCCCTTGGTGCTCCTCTGGGTGGCGGTCCTCCTCTCCTGGGGCCTCCTACGGGGCCCCAACCGCCCCGCCCACCTCGACCAGACGGGCCATAACCGCCATCCTCCCTCTGCGGGCGACCTGCTCGACAACACAGAGCGGGATGAGGATTCATTTTTAAAACATTTAAATATCAGCTCAAAAGCTGTTTTTTAAAAAGGTGAGAGTGTTACAGCAGAGCAAAACTGAAAACACGTCGCTCACCTCCGTCGGGTCGCTCTGACTCGTGTTCTCGCGGGTCGCCGGTTCCTGGGCCATCCTGCCACGGACGCTTGCGGGGGGGAAGCGACGCCATGTCCATCCCCTGCATGGAGGAGGGGCGCTCTCGACCGGTCGGAGTCGACCCGTCGTGCATCTGCTGCCCGTCCCGATAACCATCGTGACCTACAGACAGGAAGAGGCACCGCCACAATAAGAGTTCAGCCTCAGCTGCAGGTTTTCTGGACTGTGTGGACTCGGACCTGATTCTAGCGTTCCTGAGCCTGCAGTAAGAGGGACTCAGCAGCAGGGGGCACGCCAGAACCAGACTCACCTCCTCCTCTGGGCGGAACACCTCCTCGAGGCGGCCTCCCGTGGCCTCCGGAGTCCCAGCTTCGACCCATCTCCTCAGGGCCATCGAAACCTTCCTCCTGGCCGCCGTAGTCATCGGGGTAACCTCGACCGCCAGGCCGGCCTGGGCCGCCTCCTCTGTACCTGAAACAGTCCAAGGCCACACTCTGAGGTTCTGGAACAAACTCATCAGGAAACGATTCTCAGAGATCAGGTGAGCACGAGACGCCCCCTGCTGGACTTCAGGCACAGTGCATGACCCTACAACCATCGTTGATTACAGTCTGTGATCAGGGACTCACCTGTCATCTCTCCGTCCTCTAAAGCCTTCCCCACCGAACCGCTCATCGGGTCCCCAGTTCCCTGCACTCCCTCCTCCTCGGTGTCCTGCCCCCCTGTGGCCGCCGCCGCCTCCTCCTCCTCCTCCCCCCTGATATCCTGGTCCTGGCCTCCAGCCTTCCTCTCTGCTGTGGAAATCCTGGCCTCCGTCAAAGTCCTGCGACCCATGTCGGCCCTGCTGGTTGTCTCCCCAGTATGACCCTGAGCCCTGGTCTGGTGCCCCTGGGCCCTGCCGGTCCGGAGGGCCCATGTGGTGGCTTGGAGGTGGCCCTCGAGGGTCTGATGAATAAAAGGAGTCAACAGTGACTGTTAGGACTCAAGAAGGCAAAATACACCAGAGCCCCGAACAGGAGCCCTGAGAATAGCCACATCTGACTCAGGACAGTTTTACCTTTGTTGTTTGGCCCCTGCTGCCCCATCCCATGCATCATGGGCCCCGAGTTCTGACCCTGCAGAGACCACATAAAGTCAGCGTCAGTCTGTCACACACAGGGCTGATTGTGGACCAGCCAAACATCTACAGGAGCTCACCTGGTGCTGCATGTACGGGGGTCCCTGCATGTTTCCTGGCGGCCCCTGCATGTTTCCGTGGGGGCCCTGCATGTTAACAGGGGGCCCCTGCATGTTTCCATGGGGTCCTTGCATGTTACCAGGGGGCCCCTGCATGTTTCCTGGAGGTCCGTGCATCCCTCCTGGGGGCCCCTGCATGTTGCCCATGCCATAGTTGTTGGGCATGTTCCCATGTGTCCTTGGTGGGGGCCCCATCATCCCCCCCTGCATAGAACTCTGGGGGCCCATCAGGTTCCCTTGAGGTGGCATCATGGCCCCCTGAGGTGGGGGTCCTTGAGGATCTCTTGGACCCATTCCTCGAGGGGGTGGGCCCATCATGCCACCAGGGGGCCCCTGCATCCCTCTGGGTCCCATACCATGGGACCCCTGGGGGCCCATGTTTCTTGGGGGGCCGGGATGTCTCTGGATACCTTGGGGCCCCTGCATGTCCGGTGGCCCCATCATGCTCTGAGGGGGCCCCTGGTGAGACTGGGGTCCAGAGGGTGGGCCCATCTGTCCAGGGCCCATAAATGTAGGCTGCATGCCTCCAGGGCCCATTGGGGGGCCCATGGTGTTGGACATCTGTTGAGGAGGCATGTTTGGAGGACAGCCCTGCTGACCAGGAGGCATGGAGCCCCCGGGACCGCCGGGGCCCGGGAAGGGGGGCATCGAGCCCTGTCCCTGTGGGGGGCCCATGTTGCCATCCGTGTTCATCTGGTTCATTCTGTCCATCTTCATTTGCTGCAGAGAGAAAAAACAATCAGGGTGAGGAAGCAGACGTGAGGTTTCATTAAGGCTTCAGTG